TCTTGTTACTATTAATTTTCTGTTATCATTGAAATAATTTGACTACTGTTACTATTTTCTTACAGTGTATATTAGTAAAAAAGCCAAAGAGGTGTTCTGTGAGGTGTCTTGATAACCATTTGCGTCTGGCATTGAAATCGCATAGTAGATATAATTGATTTAAACGTATTTTTATTCAGTGAATCTGGATCAGTAAACAAGTCAAGAAGGCTTATGTTAATACCTCTCCAGTACAAGTTGTATTCACGAAGGCATTATACAAAATAATACATGATGATAAACTAAATATGTTAACAAAAGCAAGTGGTCATGGACAACAGCTTGGTGTAATGGGTAGAACAATTAATATATAAGCGGGATGTATAGTCTCACGTTAGCTTAAACCTTTGGGAATAAAGTACGTATGAATGTACTGATTTTAAGATATCAAGATTAGTAATTTTTGTAAAATTAGCATTACCATTCAATATAGTGTTAAGATCAACTCCCTCAGATTAGAAGATTAGTTTCTTACATCATTATAAAAGTGGCAGGGAAAGAAACCATCTCATACATTTTCGTATATGTATCCACAAGAACAAGCTGCATTGTCAGAAATATGTCTTTCATATCGTAGATCGCTTCAACTTAGTCTGAGGCGAGAATTACAATCTGACAAAATTTATTTCCAAAATGTAGATATAATTAACTTGCTTTAGAGTAAATTGCTACGTATGACTTACGAGAATATTAATCTTGATTTTGTCTATTCGTCTTTCGTGTACATTCTGTGTCAGGGGTGTACACACTGAGACTATGGGTGTAGAACTTTGACTAGATTGAGCATACTGTGACAGGAGCGTACAAACCTTAAACAGTTCGTATGTGCCGTGACAGTGGTGTACAAATCGTGACAGGAGCGTACAGTGTCAAGTGCGTATAGACCGTGACAGGAGCGTGGCGATCGTGACAGGAGAGTACAGACAATGTCAAATGTGTGAAGATCGTGACAGGAGCGTGGCGATCGTGACAGGAGAGTACAGGCAATGTCAAATGTGTGTAGACCGTGACAGGAGCGTGGCGATCGTGACAGGAGAGTACAGACAATGTCAAATGTGTGTAGACCGTGACAGGAGCGTGGCGATCGTGACAGGAGAGTACAGACAATGTCAAATGTGTGAAGATCGTGACAGGAACGTGGCGATCGTGACAGGAGAGTACAGACAATGTCAAATGTGTGTAGACCGTGACAGGGGCGTGCAGATCGTGACAGGAGAGTACAGACAATGTCAAATGTGTGTAGACCGTGACAGGAGCGTGGCGATCGTGACAGGAGAGTACAGACAATGTCAAATGTGTGAAGATCGTGACAGGAGCGTGGCGATCGTGACAGGAGAGTACAGACAATGTCAAATGTGTGAAGATCGTGACAGGAGCGTGGCGATCGTGACAGGAGAGTACAGACAATGTCAAATGTGTGAAGATCGTGACAGGAGCGTGGCGATCGTGACAGGAGAGTACAGACAATGTCAAATGTGTGAAGATCGTGACAGGAGCGTGGCGATCGTGACAGGAGAGTACAGACAATGTCAAATGTGTGTAGACCGTGACAGGGGCGTGCAGATCGTGTGAGGAACGTAGTACTATGTCAAGTGCGTATAGATCGTGACAGGAACGAGCAGACCGTGACAGGAGCGTATAGACAGTGTCAAGTGCGTATAGACCATGGCAGGAGCGTACAGACTGTGACAGGAGCGTACATACAGTGTCAAATGTGTATAAACCGTGACAGGAGGGTACAGATCGTGACAGGAGCGTACAAACAGTGTAAAGTGCGTATAGACCGTGCCAGAAGCGTACAGACAGTGAAAAGTGTGTACAGACCGAGACAGGAGCGTACAGACCGTGACAGGGGCGTACATACCGTGACAGGAGCGTACAGACCGTGACAAGAGCGTACAGACCGTGACAGGAGCGTACAGACCGTGACAGGAGCGTACAGACCGTGACAGGAGCGTACAGACTGTGACAGGAGCGTACAGACCGTGACAGGAGCGTACAGACCGTGACAGGAGCGTACAGACCGTGCAAGGAGCGTACAGACTGTGACAGGAGCGTACAGACCGTGACAGGAGCGTACAGACCGTGACAGGAGCGTACAGACCGTGCAAGGAGCGTACAGACTGTGACAGGAGCGTACAGACTGTGACAGGAGCGTACAGACCGTGACAGGAGCGTACAGACCGTGACAAGAGCGTACAGACCGTGACAGGAGCGTACAGACCGTGACAGGAGCGTACAGACTGTGACAGGAGCGTACAGACCGTGACAGGAGCGTACAGACTGTGACAGGAGCGTACAGACTGTGACAGGAGCGTACAGATTGTGACAGGAGCGTACAGACCGTGACAGGAGCGTACAGACTGTGTCAAGTGCGTACAGACAGTGTAGGGTGCGTACAGACAGTGTCAAGTGCGTAAAGACCGAGACAGGAGCGTACAGACTGTGTCAAGTGCGTACAGACATTGTAGGGTGCATACAGGCAGTGTCAAGTGCGTATAGACCGAGACAGGAGCGTACAGACTGTGTCAAGTGCGTATAGACAGTGTAGGGTGAGTACAGACAGTGTCAAGTGCGTATAGACCGAGACAGGAGCGTACAGACTGTGTCAAGTGCGTACAGACAGTGTAGGGTGCATACAGGCAGTGTCAAGTGCGTATAGACCGAGACAGGAGCGTACAGACTGTGTCAAGTGCGTACAGACAGTGTAGGGTGCATACAGGCAGTGTCAAGTGCGTATAGACCGAGACAGGAGCGTACAGACAGTGTCAAGTGCGTATAGACCGAGACAGGAGCGTACAGACTGTGTCAAGTGCGTACAGACAGTGTAGGGTGCATACAGGCAGTGTCAAGTGCGTATAGACCGAGACAGGAGCGTACAGACTGTGTCAAGTGCGTACAGACAGTGTAGGGTGCATACAGGCAGTGTCAAGTGCGTATAGACCGAGACAGGAGCGTACAGACTGTGTCAAGTGCGTACAGACAGTGTAGGGTGCGTACAGACAGTGTCAAGTGCGTATAGACCGAGACAGGAGCGTACAGACTGTGTCAAGTGTGTACAGACTGTGTCAAGTGCGTATAGACCGTGACAAGAGCGTCCAGATCGTGAAAGAGGCGTGTACATACCGTGACAGGTGCGTTTCGGCCGTGACAGGAACGTACAGAGTGTGACATACATAATAGCAGCATAATTGTGTGCTTAAACAGCACTGAATCAATATCGACCAAATACAGCATATATGGCAATGTCCCGAGTTACAATGCAGAACAGACAACGCAAATAGTTCCACATGATCTCTTGCTCAATTTGACATTTCCTAAGAGAATAACTGATAACGAAACAAGTTAATTAGTGTTGTTTAGATGCTGTTAAAGTGTGCAATGAACCTTGGATTCATTTATATTTGTGAAGTATACAAGCAATGTTGTGGAAACCCCATCTCATAACGACTGGTTACCTGCCAATAGTAGCTAAATAAGTGCAATAATCTTAAACTCTTATGCCAATGGTCGAAATATAAGTGCAATAATCTTAAACTCCAATGCACATGGTCGAAATATAAGTGCAATAACCTTAAACTCTTATACACATGGTCGAAATATAAGTGCAATAACCTTAAACTCTTCTGCACATGGTCGAAATATAAGTGTAATAATCTTAAACTCTTATGTCCATGGTCGAAATATAAGTGTAATAATATTGAAGAGTTTAAATATAAAAAATCTAAGCTTGGTGGATACACTGGTAATCTAATCGTCAATATGTTGAAGGAATGCATGTTTTAACTCTCACACTATCTTTACAAATAGAGATCTTCTCACCACATCATATGTTGTAAATACTGTATTATCAAGTGCATCTGTTTATGAGTTGTAGCTCCTGGTGTTAACGTACCTAAAATTGTACTGGAGTTAATGAGTATGGTTTTACGCCGCTTTTAGCAATATTCCAGCAATATCACGGCGGGGGACACCAGAAATGGGCTTCACACATTGTACCCATGTCGGGAATCGAACCCGGGTCTTCGGCGTGACGAGCGAGCGCTTTAACCACTAGGCTACCCGACCGCCCTACTCTTATTTGAGGAAAGAAAGACAATCCATCGTGTCTACTATCTGACCTCTAAACTGATTAACGTAAAGGCTTATGGATGTTCATATAATGATGCGTTTTCTTTTGCTGATTTCTATATACCCATTTTAAAGGCTTAGTTTGCACAAATGTGTGTTATTAGTACGCGATTTGTTACCTATTAAAGTACAGTAAACTACGTTTATAACGAACACGCTTAAAACAAACCGACAAACCGAACTTTTTTGGGTCCCGTCCGTTTGCTGTATATATGCTGTATATGTGCTTAGAACGAACTACGGTTATAACGAACTAAAATTAGTGGTCATCTTGAGTTCGTTATAACCGTAGCTTACTGGTTAACAGAATCCAATAACGTTATAAATAGACATGTGATACCTATGAGTTCCCTATACCTATACTATCAAGCTGCGACTTTATCATTTACCAACATTGAAAGCTTGTCTTGTCTAGCGATCATGAAAACCAATCAACCATACAGATATTGGATTTGAAGATTGAACGAGACGTTAAACCTCAATTCACCTCACCCAACGTAACATTCGGACAATGTTATAGGTGATCGGGTATACTAGATACAGACATATACTGTATAACTAACCCATTATGAATACATACTTTCAGCAAATTTACTCGGCGTCTACTGAAAAATGATGCCCTTTTCCAAAACGCTGTATGCGATCCTGACTGTCATATATTACAGATTACTTTAGATTGGCATGAACATGACATCTGTTATTTCAGTGAGTAAAACCTGTTGGCTTGTCACGCAAATAGCACTATTTTTATCCCCATGGGTACAATAAACCGTCACAGTGTCTGCCATAAAACTATTGCTATAATATTGAGGTGTAAAACCAATACTTACCTGACACAGATGCCAAGCACCATATTGCACTGATGAGTCTCCCTTTAAACATCTTCCAGCTTCAGACTAGAGACGGCTGCATCAACTTCATCAACAACTTGACTGAGATGATGACGTCTTCTACGTGGCTTCTGTAATCACATGGTGTACATGTGGTTCCCAGTGTCTAGGTCGTTAACTACCTGACAGGACCGAGTAAGACTATACTCTTGTGTATATAGATGGATTTAATCAATGATGCTTCTCCAGACCGTTTGGTTCTTTAATTCGTTACAGTCAAGTATCACCATAAAGCGTATCATTGCTTAAACGCAATAGTGGCAGCATTGTCCACATAAGTTCTGAATGAGCGGCTAAATAGGACAGAATTTCGAAAAGGAAAACAGCCAATAACATCAACAAAGATTTTATAGTTTGCATTATCAAACATATTTATGAATTGTTTTCAAACCTGGCGTTCTAATTATTAAATAATTGATTTAATAATTAACAACATAGGTTTCTACGACATCAGTTTAATTCAACGGTTTAAATACAGGCCTACGCATGACGAAACAAAATGAGATGGGTTGTGACAAATAGAAATGTGTTGTGAGACATGGATTGAGAACAAGAGCGGGGAGTAGAGTGTGAACAAGAGTTGGGGCTAGAACCGGGTGTAGAGAGTGGGCTAGAGTGAGGGTCAGAGTGGGTAGTAAAGGCTTGCGTGGACGAGGAAAAAGAGTAGAGACACGATTATGGACTAGAGAGCGGACTAGAACGGGGAGTAGAGCGGGGACAAATGTTGGGGCTAGAACCGGGTGTAGAGAGTAGGCTAGAGTGAGGGTCAGAGTGGGCAGTAGAGGGTTGCGTGGACGAGTAAAAAGAGTAGAGACACGAAAATGGACTGGAGAGCGGACTAGAGCGGGGAGTAGAGCGGGGAGTAGAGTGTGGACAAATGTTGGGGCTAGAACCGGGTGTAGAGAGTGGGCTAGAGTGAGGGTCAGAGTGGGTAGTAGAGGGTTGCGTGGACGAGGAAAAAGAGTAGAGACAAGATTATGGACTGGAGAGCCGACTAGAGCGGGGAGTAGAGCGGGGAGTAGAGTGTGGACAAATGTTGGGGCTAGAACCGGGTGTAGAGAGTGGGCTAGAGTGAGGGTCAGAGTGGGTAGTAGAGGGATGCGTGGACGAGGAAAAAGAGTAGAAACACGATAATGGACTGGAGAGCGGACTAGAGCGGGGAGTAGAGTGTGGACAAATGTTGGGGCTAGAACCGGGTGTAGAGAGTGGGCTAGTGTGAGGGTCAGAGTGGGTAGTAGAGGGTTGCGTGGACGAGGAAAAAGAGTAGAGACACGATAATGGACTGGAGAGCGGACTAGAGCGGGGAGTAGAGTGGGGAGTAGAGTGTGGACAAATGTTGGGGCTAGAACCGGGTGTAGAGAGTGGGCTAGAGTGAGGGTCAGAGTGGGTAGTAGAGGGTTGCGTGGACGAGGAAAAAGAGTAGAGACACGATTATGGACTGGAGAGCCGACTAGAGCGGGAAGTAGAGCGGGGAGTAGAGTGTGGACAAATGTTGGGGCTAGAACCGGGTGTAGAGAGTGGGCTAGAGTGAGGGTCAGAGTAGGTAGTAGAGGGTTGCGTGGACGAGGAAAAAGAGTAGAGACACGATTTTTGACTGGAGAGCGGACTAGAGGGGGGAGTAGAGTGTGGACAAATGTTGGGGCTAGAACCGGGTGTAGAGAGTGGGCTAGAGTGAGGGTCAGAGTGGGTATTAGAGGGTTGCGTGGACGAGGAAAAAGAGTAGAGACACCATTATGGACTGGAGAGCGGACTAGAGCGGGGAGTAGAGCGGGGAGTAGAGTGTGGACAAATGTTGGGGCTAGAACCGGGTGTAGAGAGTGGGCTAGAGTGAGGGTCAGAGTGGGTAGTAGAGGGTTGCGTGGACGAGGAAAAAGAGTAGAGACACCATTATGGACTGGAGAGCGGACTAGAGCGGGGAGTAGAGCGGGGAGTAGAGTGGGGACAAATGTTGGGGCTAGAACCGGGTGTAGAGAGTGGGCTAGAGTGAGGGTCAGAGTGGGTAGTAGAGCGTTGCGTGGACGAGGAAAAAGAGTAGAGACACGATTATGGACTGGAGAGCGGACTAGAGCGGGGAGTAGAGTGTGGACAAATGTTGGGGCTAGAACACGGTGTAGAGAGTAGGCTAGAGTGAGGGTCAGAGTGGGTAGTAGAGGGTTGCGTGGACGAGGAAAAAGAGTAGAGACACGATAATGGACTGGAGAGCGGACTAGAGCGGGGAGTAGAGCGGGGAGTAGGGTGTGGACAAATGTTTGGGCTAGAACCGGGTGTAGAGAGTGGGCTAGAGTGAGGGTCAGAGTGGGTAGTAGAGGGTTGCGTGGACGAGGAAAAAGAGTAGAGACATGATTATGGACTGGAGAGCGGACTAGAGCGGGGAGTAGAGCGGGGAGTAGGGTGTGGACAAATGTTGGGGCTAGAACCGGGTGTAGAGAGTAGGCTAGAGTGAGGGGCAGAGTGGGTAGTAGAGGGTTGCGTGGACGAGGAAAAAGAGTAGAGACACGATTATGGACTGGAGAGCGGACTAGAGCGGGGAGTAGAGTGTGGACAAATGTTAGGGCTAGAACACGGTGTAGAGAGTAGGCTAGAGTGAGGGTCAGAGTGGGTAGTAGAGGGTTGCGTGGACGAGGAAAAAGAGTAGAGACACCATTATGGACTGGAGAGCGGACCAGAGCGGGGAGTAGAGCGGGGAGTACAGTGTGGACAAAATTAATGTTGGGGCTAGAACCGGGTGTAGAGAGTGGGCTAGAGTGAGGGTCAGAGTGGGTAGTAGAGGGTTGCGTGGACGAGGAAAAAGAGTAGAGACACGATTATGGACTGGAGAGCGGACTAGAGCGGGGAGTGAGCGGGGAGTAGAGTGTGGACAAATGTTGGGGCTAGAACCGGGTGTAGAGAGTGGGCTAGAGTGAGGGTCAGAGTGGGTAGTAGAGCGTTGCGTGGACGAGGAAAAAGAGTAGAGACACGATTTTTGACTGGAAAGCGGACTAGAGCGGGGAGTAGAGTGTGGACAAATGTTGGGGCTAGAACCGGGTGTAGAGAGTGGGCTAGAGTGAGGGTCAGAGTGGGTAGTAGAGGGTTGCGTGGACGAGGAAAAAGAGTAGAGACACCATTATGGACTGGAGAGCGGACTAGAGCGGGGAGTAGAGTGGGGAGGAGAGTGTGGACAAAATTAATGTTGGGGCTAGAACCGGGTGTAGAGAGTGGGCTAGAGTGAGGGTCAGAGTGGGTAGTAGAGCGTTGCGTGGACGAGGAAAAAGAGTAAAGACACGATTATGGACTGGAGAGCGGACTAGAGCGGGGAGTGAGCGGGGAGTAGAGTGGGGACAAATGTTGGGGCTAGAACCGGGTGTAGAGAGTGGGCTAGAGTGAGGGTCAGAGTGGGTAGTAGAGGGTTGCGTGGACGAGGATAAAGAGTAGGGAAATGGTTATGGACTGGAGAGCGGACTAGCGCGAGGACTAGAGTGTGGACAAGAGTTTGGGCTAGAACCAGGTGTAGACAGTGAGCTAGAGTGAGGGTCAGAGTGGGTAGTAGAGCGTTGCGTGGACGAGGAAAAAGAGTAGAGACACGGCTATGGACTGGAGAGTGGACTATAGCTGGGAGTACAGTGTGGACAAGATTTGGGGCTAGAACACGGTGTAGAGAGTGGGTCAGGTTATGGTCAGGAGAGCAGTAGGCTGTACACAAGAGAGAGATCTACAGAGAGGAGTAGACAGAGGACTGGAAAGTAGACTAGCGTGTAGCCTATAGCGGGGTTTAGAGTGTGGACTAGAGCACGGTGTAGAACGTGGACTAGAGCGGGGACTGGAGAGAAGACTAGACAAGGGGACTAGAACGGGTAGTAGAGCAGGGACGGAAGACAAGACTAGACAAGGGGACTAGAACGGGTAGTAGAGCAGGGACTGAAGACAAGACTAGACAAGGGGACTAGAACGGGGAGTAGAGCAGGGACGGAAGACAAGACAAGAGCAGGGACTAGAGCAGGGACAAGAGCAGGGACTGAAGACAAGACTAGACAAGGGGACTAGAGCAGGGACTGAAGACAAGACTAGACAAGGGGACTAGAACGGGGAGTAGAGCAGGGACTGAAGACAAGACTAGACAAGGGGAGTAGAGCAGGGACTGAAGACAAGACTAGACAAGGGGACTAGAGCAGGGACAAGAGCAGAGCTTAAGACAAGACGAGACAAGGGGACTAGAACGGGGAGTAGAGCAGGGACTGAAGACAAGACGAGACAAGGGGACTAGAACGGGGAGTAGAGCAGGGACTGAAGACAAGACTAGACAAGGGGACTAGTACGGGGAGTACAGACAAATTTGACGTTTATACGTTTTTCACGAGACCGTGTTCTTGAAATGACGTAAACACTGACGGACTACTTCCACATTCCTGAGGAAACCCTTGGGAATTCCCTTGCACGAATACATACATAAGCGTTCTATCTGAAGTAGAGTAGAGCGGGGACAAATGTTGGGGCTAGAACCGGGTGTAGAGAGTAGGCTAGAGTGAGGGTCAGAGTGGGTAGTCGAGGGTTGCGTGGACGAGTAAAAAGAGTAGAGACACGAAAATGGACTGGAGAGCGGACTAGAGCGGGGAGTAGAGCGGGGAGTAGAGTGTGGACAAATGTTGGGGCTAGAACCGGGTGTAGAGAGTGGGCTAGAGTGAGGGTCAGAGTGGGTAGTAGAGGGTTGCGTGGACGAGGAAAAAGAGTAGAGACAAGATTATGGACTGGAGAGCCGACTAGAGCGGGGAGTAGAGCGGGGAGTAGAGTGTGGACAGATGTTGGGGCTAGAACCGGGTGTAGAGAGTGGGCTAGAGTGAGGGTCAGAGTGGGTAGTAGAGGGTTGCGTGGACGAGGAAAAAGAGTAGAGACAAGATTATGGACTGGAGAGCCGACTAGAGCGGGGAGTAGAGCGGGGAGTAGAGTGTGGACAGATGTTGGGGCTAGAACCGGGTGTAGAGAGTGGGCTAGAGTGAGGGTCAGAGTGGGTAGTAGAGGGTTGCGTGGACGAGGAAAAAGAGTAGAGACACGAT